TTGAGTCATCCCATTCATCTAGAAAATGGATTATCTTTCCATTCATATTTCTACTCCTTAAAAAAATCACGCCCTGGCACCGTGGCTCCTGCCTGTAATCCCAGTGCTTTGGGAGGCCAAGGTAGGAGAATTGCTTGACCCAGCAGTTCAAGACCAGCCTGGGCAACATGGTGAAACCTGGTCCCTACAAAAATTAGCTGGGTATGGTGATGTGCACCTGTGGTCCCAGCTACTCAGTGGGGCTGAGGTGGGAGAATCGCTTGAGCCTGAGAAGTCAAGGCTGCAACTCCAGCCTGGAGTGAACAGAGTTAGACCCTGTCTCAGAAAAACAAAACAATGTTGGCCTTTTATGTTTGAAATGTGACAGTTTAGAAATGTCTTGGTTTATTTTTACGTACTTTTTTTGGCTTTTTTTTTTTTTTTTTTTTTAGGTTCTCTTTGGAAAAGTGAAGAAAATTCAGCCTTCTGTGGATAAAAATAAAGTTTCTTTGGATCCTTCTCCTAACTTTGATTGCCATATGTCAAGAAATGCACCTTCTTTGAAAGATACCATTGAACTGCAAGCCTACAGTTCAGCAGTATGTTAATGGTTCATTTGATTTCTTGAAAAGTACTTGTTTCACATTGTATGTTTCAAGACTTAACATTCCCAAAATGTTAAATGAAAACCTGTTAATTCATTCAATATAAAACTTAAGCAAACAGCGAAAGCCATTTTAATATTTGTTGTATGAGAATATTAGTGAAGAAGTTTGAAAATTTACATTTAACTCTGTTCAAAGTACAGTGGCTACTTTTATTTAGATATTATATAGATTATTTACTGACTTTCAAAATATACCAACTTGTCTTTTAAACAAGGCTGCACAGCAGGGTGACCATACTTAATAATAATGCATTATTTCAGAATTGCTGAGAGGAAATTTCCAGTGTTTCACCATAAAAAGTGATGGGTGAGGTGATGGACATGTTAATTACCTTGATTTAATTACTCCTCATTGTATACATATATCAAAACACCACATTGTGCCCCATAAATATATAGTTAAGATTTATCAATCATAAATATTAATTTTAAAAAACAAGGCTATTTCAAAATAAGATTTTGATCTTCTATACTTTGCAAAAGTAGGAAAAAAGAAAAGTCTTATGTGTTAGTCATTAGATGAAACAGTAATCTATCGTATTTCACTTATTCTGTGGACCTTTAATTTTATACAGAATATTAAATTATATATGGATTATATATAATCATGATTAAATGAAGATAAATCTTCTCTATGAAAGTATATCCATGTACCCACATGTAAAACATACTACCTACTGAAAGTATATCCATGTACCCACATGTAAAACATACTACCTACTGTTATTTTCCTAATTTTTTCTACCAAATAAAATATAATAGTTGAGACTGCATGGAAAACATTTAACTTTTAATGAAAAAATATTTTGTATTTAAAAACAAATTATGCCTTTTTCTGCAGACGTTGGTAGCCTATCAAGAAAAAAAACTGTGGGGGAAAAAAAGGAATTCTGTACATCTTCAAAAACATTAGGGTTAAACAAGGCAGCGGGAGAAGTTTATATAGAAGTAGATAAATAATATGCAATTATATTGATTTTTTAAAAATATGAGTTTATTCAAGTCTGATTGCCAAAATTAATCAGCATGAACCTGTTTTCTTCTTTATCTTTTAGGTGTACTTCTATGAATATAGTGTCCTTTCAAAGCCTGTAGATAAACCTAGGCAATGTCTTCCATATGCTGTAGTAACAGTAAAATTTCTTGGTTCAAAAGTAGATAATGGATATCTTATGACATCTTTGAGATTCCTCTCAACAGGATTTCCTAAGAGAGCTGGTAAGATACACATATATGATTGTACTTGATTAGCATTTGTGCTGGTCTTAAAATTTCTCAGTATTATTTTCTGGCTGTGCACAATGGTTCATACCTGTAATCCCAGCACTTTGGGAGGCGGAAGCGGGCAGATTACTTGAGGCCAGCCTGGCCAACACGGCAAAACCCCAACTCTATTAAAAATACAAAAATTAGCCAGGTGTGGTGGCGTGTGCCTATAATCCCAGCTACACGGGTGGCTGAGGAAGGAGAATCGCTTGAACCCAGGAGGTGGAGGTTGCAGTGAGCCAGGATCACACCACTGCGCTCCAGCCTAGGTGACAGAGGGAGACCTTGTCTCAAAAAAAAAAAAAAAGTGAATCTCCAAGTAAAATAGTTGTGTTTTACCTGTTTCATAGATCTAGAATCATACTGCAGGTATTTTGCTCAGTATTAGGTTTGTGTGATTCTTCCCTATTGATATGTGTAACTGTAGTTTGTTCATTTTCGTGGATGAATGGGTGGAGAGTATTCCATTGTGTAGACACACTGTACACTATACTACTGAGGATATTTGGGCACTTTCCAGTCTTCTTATTCCAAACATTGCTATTTTAAATATTCATAAAAGCGTCTCATTGCATATGTGCCAAGAATTTTTCCATAGAATATGTATTTACAGCAGAAATGTTCAACTGAAAGACAGCATCAAATGATTTTCCAAAGTGGTTTGCATTAGATTACATAATCACTCTATATTCTTGCCAACACATCCTATGCTTTTTTTTTTAAGTTTTGTTTCTGCCAGTCTAATGAGTGTGATATGTTATTTTCATTGTGGTTTTTAACTTGTTTTTCCCTAATTAATGAAGTTGAGGATTTTTGTATCCTCACCAAACTTAGTGCCGTCAGACTTTTTCAGTGTTTTTGCTACACTAGTAGATACAGCATTTATTTGCTTTTGTATTTTGCTTTTCCTCAAATGCTAAATAAGTTAGGTTCGTTTCTGATAGGTGTATTGGCCATTCATTTTCCACTTTTCTGAAATTCCTGGTCACATCTTTTATCTACTTTTTCTAATTGAGCTAATTTTTATTTCATTATTGATTTGTAGGAATTCTTTTACATATTGGATATTGGCTCTTGGGTCAGTTGTATGTGTTGCAAGTGTCTTCTCTGAGTTGGTGTCTTTGTATTCTCATTTTTGTCAAGTGTTTTTTGATGAACAGCGGTTCTTGATGTCAGATATGTCTTTTTATTATAAGTACTACTACATGTGTCTTTCATAAGAGTGCTTTTCCTAGGACATGAAGATATTTTTCTATGTTTTTTTTTTAACTTTATAGGTATGTTTTCCCATTTTTGTTTTACCTACCTGAAAATGACTTTGGTGTGTGATAGGATTCTTTTAAAGTCCCAATTTATTTTAGTTTACATATGCTAACCTGATTGTTGTCTCAGTACAGTTTATTGGAGAATCCATTTTCCCCACTGATCGATAACTGCAGTACCACCTCTGTAATATATCAGTTGGCTGCAGTGCTGCAGAGATCTCTTAACTGGGCTTTCTATTCATCTCCTTGCCTATCGTTTTGCCATGAGCATCTTGCTTTAATTATTGTAACTTCATTAAAAATACTAATTCCAGACTTTGTATGAGAGAAAAAATACTAATACCTATATAACTGATCCTTCATCTTTGCTTTTGGTCCTTTGGTGTTCATAGAAATTTTAGAATCAACTTATCAAGGTCTGCCAACAAATTTATCAGAATTTTGATTGAGATTGATTGAATCTATATATTAATTTGTGGGAAATTGTCTTCTTTATTGAGTTTTCTAATCTATTAACATTGTATTTCTCCCATGTCAGTTATCTCTAACGTATTTCAGTTTTATAATTTTCTCTGTAACATCTTGCATGTCTTTTATTTTTAAACATTTGATATTTTATGTTATTTTAAATAATAGCTATTTCATTTTATTTTCTATTGTTGGTGTATGTCAGTTCAGTTGATTTAAAAGTGTAAGATTCAGTAGCTTTTAGTATATTCACAAATATGTGCAATCATCACCACAGTTTTAAAATTAAGGTACTTTGTTTTGTTTTTTGTTTTGTTTTTGAGACAGGATCTCACCCTGTCACCCAGGCTGGAGTGCTGTGGCACAGCTTGGCTCACTGCAGTCTCCGCCTCCCAAGCTCAAGCAATCCTCCCATCTCCACCTTCAGTTGCCGGGACTGCAGGTGCACGCCACCGCACCCAGCCTAAGCTAACATTTTAAAGAAACTTTGTGCGGGGCACCATGGCTCATGCCTGTAATCCCAGCACTTTGGAAGGCCGAGGCAGGTGGATCACCTGAGGTCAGGAGTTTGAGACAAGCCTGGCCAACATGGTGAAACCCCATCTCTACTAAAAATACAAAAATTAGCTGGGCGTGGTGCCAGGCGCCTATAATCCCAGCTACTCGAGAGGCTGAGGCAGGAGAATTGCTCGAACCTGGGGGTCGGAGGATGCAGTGAGCCCAGATGGCACCACTTCACTCCAGCCTGGGCGAAAGAGCAAAGCTCTGTCTCAAAAAAAAAAAAAAAAGAAAAGAAAAAGAAACTTTGTGCCCTTTAAAAGGTATTATATCCCTGATCCCCAGCCGTAAGCAACTACTAATGTACTTTTATGCCTAATCAGGGCATTTCATTTAAGTAAAATCATAATTTTTGGACTTTTTTGTGCCTGATTTCTTTCACTTAACATTGTTTTCCTGGTTCATCCATGTTGTAGCATGTATCAGTACTTTATTTTTTTTTTTATGGAAACCATTTCGTTGTATAGTTGCACCATATTGTATTTATCAGTTGGTCAACATTTGGGTTGTTTCCATTGTTTGACAATTACAAATTCTGCTATGAATGTTTGCATACAAGTTTTTACATGGATATGTGTTTTCATTGCTCTTGAGTACAATAAAGCTAAGAGTGGAATTGCTGGTTTATATGAAGACTCTGTAGTAACTGATCGAGGAACTGCCAAACTATTTTCCAAAGTGGCTGCACCATTTACATTCACACCAGCAGTATCTGAGAGTTAGAATTTCTTCATATCCTTGTCATAGCTTATTTGACTTTCTGATTATAGCCATCCTAGTGGGTGTGAAGTATAGTTTTCAGAATATGAGTTTTGCACTTCTTTTGTTAAGCTTATTTTTAAGTATTTTATTCTTTTGGTGCTATCATAAATAGAATTCTTTATTTTATTAGTGTATTGTTCATTCCAAATGTACAGAAATATAATTGACTTTTGTGTAATGATAGTGTATCCTGCAGCCTTGCTGAACTCATTATTCTAATAGTTTTTTTAGTGGTCTTTGGGATTTTCTATATATAAGATCATGTCATCTGTGAATAGAGATAATTTTACTTTTTTGTTTCCAGTCTTATTTTGCATAATTGCCCTGGCTAAGTACCTCCAGTAAGAGAAGTGGCAAGAGCAGACATCTTTGTCTGTATTCCTGAATTTAGGGGGAAAGTATCCAGTCTTTTACCAGGAAGTATGATGTCAGTTGTAGGGGTTTTATAGAAGCTCTTTATCATGTTGAGGAAATTTGCTTCTGTTTCTGATTTATTGAGAGTTTTTAGATTATTGGATTTTCTCAATCGATTTTTCTTTGTTGAGATGGTTGTGTGGTTTTTTTTGTTGTTTTTATTGATCTAATGTATTACATTAATTGATTTTAGGTGTTAACATTGCAGTTCCTTGGTTTGGTCATGGTGTATAATTCATTGTATGTGTTCCTGGAATCAGTTTGCTGCAATTTTATTGGGGATTTTTGTGTCCACATTTATAAGAGATACTGGTCTATTGATTTTTTTTTTTTTTTGATGTTTTTGTCTGGTTTTGGTGGTAGGGTAATATGTTCCATAGGATGAGTTGGGAAGTATTCTATTCTCTCCTCTTTTATTTTTTGGAATAATGTATGAAGAATTGGTATTATTTCTTCTTTAAACATTTGGTAGACTTCACTAAGGAAACCATCTGGGAATGGGTTTTTCCTTGTGGGTAGTATTCAATTACTAATTCAGTTTCTTCACTTGTTGTAGGTCTGTTCTGATTTTCTGTTTCTTCTTGCATCACGTTCAGTACTTGCTGTTTTTATTGGAAGTTGTCCATTTCATTTCAGTTATCTAATTTATTGGCATACATTTGTTTATAGTATTCCTTTAATAGTCTAATAGTCTTTTTATTTCTGTTAGTGGTAATGTTCCCTCTTTCATTTCTGAGTCTACTAAAGTCTTCTTTTTTTTTTTTTTTTTTTTTAGGCTAAAGGTTTATCTTTTTTTTTTTTCAAAAAACCAATTTTGATTTTATTCTTTTTGCTATAATTCTATTTCATTAATTTCCTCTTTTTATTTTCTTCTGTTTGCTTTAGATTTAGTTTGCTATTTCATGTGTATGTGTGTCTTAAGGTGGATGGTTAGGTTTTGATTTCAGATATTTCGTCTTTGCTAATATAGGTCTTTATAGCTGTAAATTTCTAGAAGCAACTACTTTAGCTGTGTCCCATGACATATGTTACATTGTAATTTTCATTTATCTCAAATTTATTTTCTAATTTCCTTTTGATCTGTTATTCTTTAATTCATTGGGTTTTTTTCGGACCGTGTTTTTTATGTATTTGCAAATTTCCAAAATTTTTTTGTTGTTGATATCTATTTCATTCCATTGTAGTTGGAAAACCATTTGTATTATCTTTTTCCTTTAAGTTTATTGAGGTTTGTTGTATAACCTAGCATATAGTCTTTCCTGGAGAATGATCCATGTGCAACTGAAAAGAATATACAGTAGTCCTCTAGTATCTGTGGGGGAGGATTGGTTCCAGGATGTTCCATGGATACCAAAATTTGTGGATGCTCAAATTCCTTTACAGACTGGCTCAGTATTTGCATATAACCTACACACATCCTCCCATATACTTTAAATTATCTCTATATTACTTATAATACCAATAACATATTTGTTCTATGTAAATAGTTGTTAGACTGTGTTTTTTATTTGTAT